AAGAAGTGAGAGTGTGGTTTGGTTAAAGACTTCAAAAGGGATTTTGGAGTTTTAGTTAGAGATTTGGAGGATGGAAGGTTTGGAGAAGGGAAGAGAGAACACACTTTAGTTCTCCACTTCACTTTTTAAGGGCAGCCAGTAGAGCCTAGCTCCCTCAATAAATCCTCACATCGATCCAACCCAAGTTTATTTCATTTTGGACCTGAAACTTTGGCTCCAAAATCAAATAGATGTGAGAGATGCAATCGATAAGAGTTGGGGGTGGGTTCGAGTTGGAGCGGAGTGGATTAGTTCCCATGGGGTCAAAGGAGGATATGAATTTTACAAATAGAGTACTGTATGACTATCGGGTCATCGAATGATATTAGGAAGGGACATCAACGGAATCGGGGTGATTTATTCCATTTCTAATACTTTTTGGAAGTGAATAATGTATGGAACTGATGGGTATATCCTTATACCCGATCCGGACAACCGAAAGGGACAGGTCAAAGTATGACCGGTCACTTTTATCAATCACCAAATGAGGTTAACTCTTCGATTGGGACGGGTCAAAAGTTGACCGGTCACTTCCACTAAAAAAGTGACCGGTCACATTTTGGCCGTTAGCCGAAATGTCGCCTAATGTTACAAAGGACAATCTAGAAGACCAGAGACTGGTTGAGCACAAAGAATAACCGGGTAACCTTTGAGAGAAGGTGACCGGTCATATCATCTCACTTGAAAAACATTGGTCCAGTATCTCAGGCATGGTGAACCACGTCAAAGGTCAAGGGGACACCCCGCCGCTCATCCATCACGAGGCACACAGTGAAAGGGATGTTTGTCATTTTGCAGGGTTGATTGGATTGAGAATATCCATTTTAGTCTTTGATTGAACAGTACATGTCTTGGCCTATAGTTGCTAAATTCTATGATTGTACAGTGTTCCCATTATCTACAGTGACCTTCCCACGAGCTTCCTATTTTGTCCATGGATGAACAGGGGAAGGTCACAAATCCTCCTCTATAAATATGATGATATCGGATAGAGGAGGGGATCCAATTTTTCTCTCACTAAAGTTCACTCTTGAGATAGAGTAAGAAATATAATTCGGACTGAGGAGATTTACCCGGTCTAGGTCATACTTTGTGTTCTTGTTGTGTGTTTTATATTACGGGTCGAGTGTGTCCAGGTCAAACCCGGTTAACCCACCCCGCTATATTTACACCATCATTTTTGGCGCCGACCGTGGGACCCGATTTTTAAAGTTTTTTCGACCAGGTCAAAACTTTACCCCCACTAAATATCCACAATCATGTC